TTGTTTGGAAAAAAAAAAAAAAATTAGGAAATTTAATTGTCTATAATTTATTTGTGTGAAAATTATTAATTAAACATGTTTAATTGATTTAGTTTTCAATTTAAAAAATATTTATATTTGTCCATTTTTTATTGGTGAGTAAGTAAGAGGGAGAAAGAGATAGTGAATTACCTTGAAAATAAAAAATCACCTTCCATAGAGAAAATGCTTTCCTTTTTTTGAGAAAAAATTGATCACGTGACCAAAAGTTGAAAAACCTTTTTTTGTGAAAAGCTCAAACAAATACACTCTTAGTATAATGTTTCACCGTGAAAAGCTCAAACAAAGTATCACACTCGTAACTTAAAATTTTGAAAAATAAGCTAAAACTTTTATTTAGTTAAGATATACAATATGCGACTTTGATTTAAAAAAGTGACACGGTATGTTATTTTGTTAATATGGGACCATAAGATTAGTCAAGGACCTATGGTGGAAATTTGGAAAAATTGAGCTAATCGGGTGTCTACATTCAAATGACGGTACGGTACGTATGAAGAACGAAATATAGTGAGAGGTTGAGGTCAATGGAATGAGTCAAGTTGATCAGGTTGGACAATTGAGAGAAGAAAAAATGTTTTATGTTTAAAAAAATCATATTATATAATTGCAATATTTTAATTAAAAAGTGACCCATCATGTCACTTTGTAATATAGAACCCTGATTCACATTTAACATAACAATAATAATAATAATAAAATTATAGCTAAATATTAATTTAAGAAGTTCTTATAATCAGATTGTAACCTCAGCAAAAATATTCTACTAGAAAAACTCAAATTACATAAAAGTGTGAGACATTTAAATTAAAAAATGGCATAAAATATGTGTCTAATGCATAATCTTAATTCTTATCCAAGACAACATACTGCACACATCCTTTCAAGTTTGTCGTATGTGCATTCTATGCAGAAAATAATTACGGTCATTTTAAAATCTATGTATCGGTTGTCACTGTCCCATTTGTCACCATGATAGATGAAGATATGGATTGGGAAATACATAGAAATAGCCTAAATTTGAAACCATAATTGAAGAATGGCCTTTGACCATTTTAAAGATTTAAAATTCCTAAAATACCCTCTCAAGACAAAAAAAATTGTTTAACAAGTCATTCTAAGATATAATAGATTTCATTTTAATCCCTAAAATTTTGATCTTATATAAATTCAACAAATTGCTTCCCCTTTAGAATTAAAATTTAATTTTTTTTCACCATTAACTCTTTCCACCTAT